CGCCCGATCAAAAGCTAAGGCCACCTTAGGAACAGAAGGCCTTTAATTTGGAAGCTGGGATGGCATGTGTGCAATAGTAAAGCATGATTAAGGCAACTTTCTCCCTAGTCCTTTTGACTCCCTTGACAAGGCCGCGGCTCAGTTCAGCCCTCATTTCACCTTTCCAGCTGCACCTGGAGACACTATTTGTACAAAGCAAGCTTATTAAGGCCTGTCCTTAACTCGACACAGACGGCAACGTCTCTGAATGTCACATGTGTTTAGCGAACTGCTTGCTTAGGGTAGAGCTCTATTTTTAGTAAGCACCAAAAAAAAAAACCCATGATACTATATCCCGGCACCTCATTTGTCCCAATTTGTTTACCAGGCTGTGTCCCACATTGGCCTGGGGGCCAGGCAAGGGCAGGACCACATCTCATTCGTCTCTGTACCCCTACAGGGCCTGGCACAAAACCAGCATTCAGTGAGTGTTTGCTGAAAGAATGAGGTTTAAATTGTGCCCTGTGAATGGGTTGAGAGCAGGTGGCCCTGAGTCGAAGTGCAGGGGACCTTAGGGCTCCAGCAGGGCCTGTGACTCTACTTGGAAATGGTATAAAAGGTGCGCTGGGGGCAGAGGGGATGCTGGTTGGGGTGGGGATTTGTGGAGGGGGGAGCAGTGCAGGAGGGTGTGCACATGTGCAGTGTGCTCCTACAGCGTATGGGATCTATGGCTTTTATCAGCCTTTCAAAGGGCTGTGACCCGAAAAGTTTAAGGATCACCAGAATAAACTTTACAAGCAATGACCAGGAGTCCATTTTCCTTTCTGAAAGGTCAAAGTTAACGCCACGTGCATCGGCTTACCAGGAATCGGAGGAGGGACACACCAGACCCACTGAGGTAGACTAGAAGCAAGCACTCCTGACATGTCAGTCCCAGCACAGCCCAGAGGAGATCTGGCACCTCTGGAGGTGACCGGGTATTCCCAGGACCAGCCCGTCTCTCCCAGTGTATTACAAGTTGGGAGAAGTAAGAATGCATTGACTTCACAAGCACACACAAAGAAATTAAACTTCTGATCTGTCTGATCACAGCCAGCACACCTCTCCCCTCCAAGGTGGGCTCAGTAGCACTGGTCCCCACTCTTTCTATCAATATTACTACATACTTAGCTCTCTCCCTCAGTAGAAAAAAAATAAGAGTTTACTTTGAATGCCTCTAGGCAAATAAATCTGAAAATCCAGATAGGGGAAATAAATAATTTCTTAGAAAGATAAAGTTTACCAAAATTGACTCCAGTAGAAATAGAAAACGTAAACAGACCAGTTCCCATAGACACAATCAAGAAAGCTATCGCAGAACCACCCCATGAAAAGGCACCAGATCTAGATGGCGTCACAGAGGAATTCTATCGCAACTGTAGAAACTGGATAGTCCCAATAATACACATGCCATTCCTGAACATAGAGAAGAAATTTATACCTAACAGCATACCAAAATGGACATTACAGACAAATATCACTCATACGTACCGCTAAAAGAAATCCCGAACAAAATATTATCCAGTAGATGCCGGCCCCATCACCATAAGAAAATAATACACAGTGAGCAAGTGGGATTGATACCAGGAATATTTCAATATTAGGAAATCTATTAATATAAGTGATCTTAGAAGAATAAAATCATATTTTTCCATAGATGCTAAAACGTCTACGGCATAACTCAACTCCCATTCTTAATCAAAACTCTCATGAAAATAGAAATGGATGAATACTTCCTTAACCTAATTAAGTACATATGTCTCGATTCCAAAGCCAACACTGAGGGTACTCCTGCTGGGGTCAGGAACAAAGCAAAGATGTCTACTTTCCAGTACCATGTAGATGCTACTGGAGGTACCAGCCAATGCAGTCAGACGAGAGAAAACAACTCGAGGCTCTAACTCAGTGAGGGCAGGGACTGAGTCTCATTTCCTATTATATCCCCAGGATCTAACACCATAGGTGCTCAATAGTTAGATGGATGAGTAAATGAATAATGACTCACATTACTGAACATCTCTATTAACAAAATCAAGGCTTTAATAAAAAGCTAGTAAGAAATCACACTCTGTGTTAACTGATTTAAGTGGGTTAAGCCATTCAAGGCAAACAACACCATGAGGTGAGTACTATCATTCCAGTCACGTGACAGCTGAGCAAACAGAGGTCCAGAGAGGTTAGATGACTTTTCCAAGATCACTCTGTTGGTAAATGTTTTGAATTCCAGTCTTGCATGGTACCAGGCCCCTAACAAACAGCTTTACATGTGTCTCTCATCAAGAGAGGGAATGAGGAACAGAAAACAGGCTCTGGAGCGGGACAGCCAGGTTCATATTTCAGCTCTGCCGCTTTCTTGGGAAAATTCCTTCACCTCTCTGTGCCTTTGCATCCTCCTCTGTAAAATGAGGGTGACAACAGTGCCTACCTGCTAGGGTTGGAGGGGTACTACATGAGCTAATAAACATCTGCCACATGTTCAAGCTCCATAAAATGAGCACCCGACTTCCCCCAAATTCCCTAAGTGCCGACACCAATTTCTGACAACATCTGTCCCATGAGCAGTCCCCTTCCCTCTCTGGTTTTTCGCCAAGCCCACGCCCAGAGTTAAGCAGAACACCTCATGTGCATCACCAACATACTGTCACCTGGGACAAAGCCCAATAGCAAGATAAGGGCTAGTGTTGGCCCTTGGGGAGATCCATCATGTGGAAGCAGAGAGAGGGGACTGCTATTAACATCTGGGTGAGCCAGACCCACATCTGGTACAGCTCGCTTTAGCCTCTCAAAGCTCCCGACATCCCTTCTCTTCCTGAGCCATGATGTTTCTGTGCTGCTGACTTCCCAGCAAGGGGTCATTATTTTACAGATTTCAGAGCATAATGCTTCACTCCTTAAGTGGGGCCGCACACAGTGACCTCTTTCCAAAGAGCACAGTTCAGAAAGGAGTTAACCTTACAGTGGAGGAACCTGCCAAAGGCTACCTCAGCCAGGTGATCAAGGCCATCTTCAGTAGTGATAAATCATGTTGATAGTAGGTACCCTTGATATGATGTGATGGAAATGGTCACTTTACCTCTGTGGTCTTCCTCCCCCAAAACCCATAGCCCTGTCTAACCATAAGAAAAACATAAGACTCCATTGAAGGGACATTCTACAATGTACTTGATCAGTAGTCCTCAAAACTGTCAAGCTCATGAAAAAAAACAACAAAATAAAAAACGACAGTCTGAATGTGAATAAAGTATGGACTTAGGTTCATAATACTGTATCATAATATTGGCTCATTAATTATAACAAATGTATCAACTAATGTAAGATGCTCATCATATAGGGGGCTTGGTGCGGTGCTGGGTATATGAGAACTTGCCGTACTATCTTTACAACTTTTCTGTAAATCTAAAACTGGTCCAAAAAATAAAGTTTATTTTTAATAAATAGATTCTGGGGCCTTCATTGTGGTGATTTAGACACCCATCTGGCAGCCTCCAAGCACCCCTTGCCAAGAAAAACTATAAAAAGCACCTCCCATCGGATTTGGCTTGGAAACTGTTTCCCCGGAAATCTCCCCCCACTGCAGGAAAAAAAAAAAATTCGTTGACTGTGAATCTGGGAGGGGTGTAAGTATTAGTTCCCTGCAAAACATGAGTTTAATCTCAACAAACAGCAAGACCACTGATGCTAGAGGGATCGTTTGCAGATTCTTAACTGTATCTTTTCAAAGCAAAGGATGGCCTCAGGATTGCAACTCAAGAAGACTGGGCTCTTTGGCTGGATAATTATTTCCACCTCCAGCCAAAATAGAGAATAATTACGAATTACCATCTTCACTTGGTATCCGAGTGAGGGCATCTCCGAAATCCAAGCAAGCCCCTCACCTAAGGAGCTTCACCTGAAGATGCTGTGGAAGGAAAGTTAAAGCTTCTCTGCCTAACCCAGCATCTCTGGGAAACAGCAAGCCCCGGAGAGTCCGGAAAAGGCCTCCTACACACAGCAGGCAGCACAACCCCTTCCTGCTTTCCCTAATGCAGCCAAGCCCAAGTGCATCTGGAAGTTACCACGAGGCCTGCCCCAGAGGCTTCAATAAGCACTGCCTGGGCTAGGCTGTCAAAATCAGGAAGCCTGGTTGAGTTTTTTTTTTTTCCCAAGACAACCTGCTAACCAGAAAAATACAGTGAGGTTGGGTGTGCGACCTTCTCGTCTGACCAAGGCTCCTGTTAAACACGTGAAATGACGGCCCAGCCTGGGGAAATCCCCGGTCCCCAGCGCAGAGCGCACTTGAAGGCACCAACCAACAGGTCGCTGAGGCAGGAACAGCCTGCATCTTCCTGAATCCACAACCGCCCCACAGCCATGATGACCGCGGGGTGGGGGATCCCTTAATAAAGCTCACACTGAGCCATGCGGGGTGATGTGCAAACACAGCAGCAGACCCGAGGGAGGAAATGGGCCAGCCGCCTAAGATGAAGTCAAACCACCCTCCAGCATTAGATACAGACAACCCCTTCCTTAGTGTCAACACAAAGTCCCCAACTACGGGCTCGCACGCGGTGGTGCCCGGAGGTGGGAGGATCCGCTTCACCTGCCCTCTGTTTGCACCAGCCCCTTCCCACGAACTCCATTCTCTGGCTTCCTCGTCTCCTCCCTCCAAAGGCAAACCAGTAGCTTCCGCTGCCCTCTGACGACCAGCTGCAGGCAAGAGGCCAGCTGAGACCCCTGCCACCCTTGGCTTTGCTACCAGTGACAATCAGGGAGAAGTAACTGGAAACCAACGCCCTAGCCGGCAGAGTGAGCCTAGCGCCCCCTAAAGGCGGCTGCAGTCCCTGACGCCTCGCGCCCTCCCTCAGCCGAGGGGAGAGGCACCCCCCCGCTCCAGGCCCCCCAGTAAGTGTGACACGTGGAGCAAAAGGGGGCCCTGTGTCCACTGTCCAGGCCCAAGCCCCAGCCCGGGCTCGGAGGCCAAGCCGGGGCGAGCCTCCACCGACCTTCGATAGGATTCAAATAGTCATAATCGAAGAGGATGGAGAAGTCGAACTCGTCTTGGGGGCTGCCTCCAGGCTCGTGGCCCGGGGCGCCCCCGCCGTCGGGGTCGGGCTGCGGCTCCTGGGCGTCCATGGCGCGCAGAGCGGCGGGAGGGCGGCGGGCCGGGGGCGAGGGCAGGCTCGGCTGTCTCCTGGGCCCTCGTCGGGGGTGGCGAAGGAGGCAGGAAGCGGGGCGGAGAGGCGGGTGGAGCGGCGGGGTCACTGCCCTCGTGGGAACGCACGCCGGGTCCAGGGACGGCGCGCCTGGCGCAGCGGGTCCTGGACGCTCCCGCGGGAGCTTAGCGGCGGCGGCGGCGCGGGCTTCCTGCTCCGGGAGGCACCTGTTGCAGCCCGGGGAGGGGAGAGGGGAGGCGGGGACAGCGCGGCCGGGTCGGCGGGGGCGGGGCCGCCACCCAGGGACCCGGGGAGGGAGGGGGGAAGGGAGGGGAGGAGTGGCGGGCGGGCCCAGGAGGAAGGAGGCCGCCCCCTGGCCCTGGCCGCGCTGCCCTGGCCGCACTACCCGGGCACCGCGCGTAGCAACCCGCCGGGGCCGCCGCCAGGCGCTCTGGTGCGGCCGCTGCTCCTACCCTCCCAGCGGTGAGCTCTGCGCCCCTGCCGGATCCTCCAGATGAGAAAGCCTCTTGTCGTTTGCCCTCTATGACCGGCTGATCCCAACCTTTTTCCTCTTTTCTAATCTAAGGGGGCGGGGGATGGGGGGTGGGGGGAGGGAGTGCACCCACGCCCTTCTCTTGAAGACTCGTGTCTCCAGGTGCCTCTCTGCCCACAGCTGTGGCATGATTTTCACGTACATCAGTCACCTGAGTGCCCCTGAACTCAATTCCCAGGACCTGGGAAAGAATCAGAGACACTCTCAGAGGGCAAGTCCCACCTTTACATCTATACCTCTTGGCCAGGTGCCGGGGACCCAGCATGAACCAGACACTGCTGGGGCTCAGTTTCTGGTGGGGGAAGAGTCATGCAGGAGATAAACAGGGGAGCAAAGATCATCCCCATAGGGTGTCAGGAGAGAACTCACCAGAGATATAGGGTAAAGGCTGGGGGTTCACGAGGCTTTGCTCACTTCGGTGGTCAGGTAGGGCCTCTCTGGGAAGGTAGCATTTGGTTGAACCAGACTGATGGGAGGATCTGGGGGAAGAGTGTTCCGGCGGTGGGAACCAAAAGAAAGTAAGAGCCAGAAGGTGTTCTTGTGTGGGAGACCAGGAAGGAGGGCAGTGCAGGTGGAGAGGTTGGCAGGTGACAAGTACGCCTGGACGCTTGTTAAAAACACAGATTCCCAGGCCCCTCACTGGAGCTTCTGAAACCCTAAGTCTGGAGTAAAGGCTCAGGGTTGTGTTTTTTGGGGTTTTTTTGGTTTTTTTTTTTTTTGCGGTACGCGGGCCTCTCACTGCCGTGGCCTCTCCCGTTGCGGAGCACAGGCTCCGGACGCGCAGGCTCAGCGGCCGTGGCTCATGGGCTCAGCCGCTCCGCGGCACGTGGGATCTTCCCGGACCGGGGCACGAACCCGTGTCCCCTGCATCGGCAGGCGGACTCTCAACCACTACGCCACCAGGGAAGCCCAGGGCTGTGTATTTTTAAGCAGGCACCCAAGGTGAATGTTCTGAACAGGTACATTTGGGGGACAGTACATAAGAACCTACTACCACCTCCCATGAAACACTTCCAGGGGTCTCGGACCAAGTTAGCTAAAGTCAGAAAACAGACTCACAGGTAAAAACGGTGAGATGAGAGCAGTGGCCTCAACCCTTATGGCACGTTAGCATCACCTGAGACACTTTAAAAAAAAAATGCCTGTTTTCACGTTTCAATCCAAACCCACTGAACTGGAACACCCAAAGCGGTTTTTTTGGGTTTTTTTAATGACCTCAGATGAATCTAAAGCGCAACCAGTGTTGAGAATCGCTGGATCAGAAAAGTAGATGGGAGAGGTTCAAGGAGTCCCTGAGAACCACAGCTTGATCTCAGCTGGGGACTGACTCTAACCCTTCCCCACGTGCCAGAAGTATAGAGAAGATGTACTCTTCAGGGGGAGCCGTCTCTGCTCCGTTAAGGGGTTTGTGTGAAGCTATCAATCATCATTCATTCCACAAATCTTTACTGGGCACCTGCTTGGTACCTGGCACTGCTACATATCTTGGGGATGCAGCCATCAGCAGGACATGGTCTCTGCCCTCATCATGTTTCTATCCTGTTAGCAAAGAGACACAGCAATGAATAGTGCTTTCCAAATTGCACTTAGACCAGTGGCTCTTAACCCAAGCTACACATTAGACTCACCTGGAGAGCTGTTCAAAAACTTCAAATGGCTGGGCCCCAGGAGGGGCCAGTTATAATCAGAATGTTTGAGGCCCAGGCATCAGTACTGTGTAAAAGCTCTCCAGACGCTTCCAATGTGTGGCCCGAGGCGAGAATCACTAATATAGACACAAACTCCATTCCAGGGTCCTGGGCCTGGCTCAAGATTTATGAACTTTCTGGGCTCCCCTGGTGGCACAGCGGTTGAGAGTCCGCCTGCCGATGCAGGGGACGCGGGTTCGTGCCCCGGTCCGGGAAGATCCCACATGGGCGGAGCGCCTGGGCCCGTGAGCCATGGCCGCTGAGCCTGCGCGTCCGGAGCCTGTGCTCCGCAACGGGAGAGGCCACAACAGTGAGAGGCCCGCGTAACACACACACAAAAAAAAGATTTATGAACTTTCAGAGTCTTGGGAAGCACTTTCTAGTTGTCAGAGCATAAACAAACCCTCTTCTTTGTTTCCTAAGCATAAGCATACGTATATTGGGTGTATCCAACAAGCATCTTAGGGGTGGCTGATAAATTTAGGTCGAGGAGAGGAGGTGACCCAGGCTGCGATACTTATAGCCAAGTATCTTGCCTCCCTGGCATCATTCCCCACTTCTTCTGATAACAACACCCCAGTGTGTTCCTTTGGGAAACTGCTCGTGATACAGTCTTGGTAAAATTATCAACCCAGCTGTCCCATACTCCCCTGGCAAAGAAGTGAACAAATGATCCAGGCTTGGCCAGTTGGAGAATTTTATCTCCACTAGCCTATGAGACCCATTAGGGCAGGGGTCATGAGTGCCTCGTTCACAGCTTTATGTACAATGGATGTGTGGATACGCAGATGGATAAATGAATGGATAGATGAGTGGATGGATGGATGATGGATGGATGGATGGACAAATGGATGAATGGATGGATAAATGGATGAATGGATGGATGGATGGATGGATAAATGGATGGATGGATAAGTAGATGGATGGATGGATGAATGGATGGATGGATTGATGGATAAATGGATAAATGGATGGATGGATAAGTGGATGGATGGATGGATGGATGGATAGATGGGTAAAAGAGTTTGTCCTTGTGTATATAAGATCCTTATATTTCTCTTTAAGGGCCCTCCTCCCTGAGGCTTCCTCTGGCCACCCAACTGTTTGGGCAAGAATCTAAATTCTTACCCCCAACTGATATCCTCTTGAGATACCCAATCATAGGATGAGATAATAAAGGTAAAAATCACTTTACAACTGATAAACTGCTACAAAGACTTCAGTCTTATGAGAATGGTTCAGGACATTCTAAATAATATTCTAATTGTCTAAGTTGTTCCTCTGAACAGTGGATATATTTTTAAAGTTTCTAGGATCTGCACCAAATCATAGTTCTTTAAGGGAAGGGGTTCAAACTAGGCCCTGGCCCATAACAAAGTTTCTGCTAGAGCAGTGGGAAGTGAGAGGGTTTTCTTCTCTAAAGGCCACTTTGAAGGGTGTGGCTTGGGTGGGGGGAAGGCATATTTTCATTTCCAAAATAAATAATTTGTGCTGTTCGAAGCAAGGGCTAGGGGCAGAATACATGACCTTTATGCATTCAGAGGCCACAGCAGGAAGGTGGGGGGTGGAATAGAGGCCTTGACAGTGCAGCTCTGTCAACCTTCCCTCTGCCCTGCCACTGGCCTCCTCGCGGAGGCCCTAGCCTTTTAGTTTTTCTCCGGGTTCCCCAATAAAAGTGCAATGGGAAGCTCGTGAGGCCACTGAGAGTTTGAAACTCCTAGCACACGTCTGACCCTGGCCCAGGAATTCAGCTCCATTCAAAAGCATTTACTCTAGTGTACAATTACAACCTGAGGTAAGTGCCATGAAAGGAAAGAAGAAGATGCCACAGAGCTTATATCAAGGAAACCTGATGTTGACAGGGAATTCAGGGAAGGCTTCCCTGGGGAGGTGGTATTGAAGCTGAGAACAGAAGGTTGAGTAGAAGTTAGCCAGAGAATAGTGAGGGGGAGAACTAACAGCCAGCTGGGAAAGTATGTGCAAAGGCCCTGAGGCAGGAGGAAGTAGGACGTATTGGAAGAATTGAAAAAAGACTGGAGTGGCAGGTGCTCAGGAACGGACAAGAAGATGGTGTGAGGTAAGGCTGGGGGGTGAGTGGTGCCTGAGGGCCCGTGTGGAGAATTTTGGACCTCAGACCAATGAGGAATGACTCAAGTATATTAGGCACATACATGACAAGATCATATTTGGGGCTTTAAGTGGTTGCTCTGGGTTCTGCATGGAGAAGAAACTGCAGGGGGCGAGTATTGAAGCAGGAAGACCAATTAGGAGGTTCATACAGTCATCCAGGCAAGAGAAAATGGGGCATGAACTATGGTGAGGGCAGTTAAGATAGAAAACAGTGGAAGCACATGAGAGATAAGCATACTCTCATCCTTGAGTTATCTCTTTTCCTCTTCCGGGCTACCTCTTAGAAGGCAGCATAATCTGATTTCACGTGAATACAAATACCTGAGGTGTACCACCCTCTGGGGCCCTCCCACCCCACTCCAGGTGGCTCTGAGATCTGAGGCCCCTTCAAGTTGACCCTGGAAGGACCCCCCAGACGCAGAGCTCTGCCCTCCTTTCCCCCTTCTGGTATAAAGCTCATTTTTAGCCTCAGCCTGGACCCCTCCCCTGAAATCTGTCCACCCAGCATCTCCATCTGGGCATCCAACAGGCCCCTCAAAATACACGTGTCCAAACCAACCCTGTTATCCTCTGAAACCTCTCCTCTCCCACTGTTCCCAGCTCAAATATCACCCTCCCATTCATCCCATTCCCCCACCAAAAACCAAGGAGTAAGTGTCCTTTATTCCTCGCGTCTGCTCACACCCACGTGCAAACTCTCGGCAAATCAAAAACCCTCAAAACGTAACCCAAATCCCACCGTTTTTCACCAACTTCACTGTTCTTCCTCCCACCCCAGCAATCCTAAGCCCCCACCATCTCTCACCCGGACGAATATGATAGCCTCCTCCCTGGTCTCC